GATCGTGTCAGATTCTATATTTGGATTTGTTACTGCATTAAATTAGTATTGAAGGTGGTCATAACAACATGGGTTATTTGGACATAATCCAGTGATCGCGTTCTTATATTTACATGGTAAGTTCTTTGAATTTTCCGATGCAATCATACAAAATAAAATACAGATATGTTTTCTTATTTGTATATGGAGGCAACGCAGTAGAGCGAACAGTATGTTTTCGCGGGAAAATGTAAAACCGCCGGGGATCTTAGCAACAGCATGACTACAAAATAAATAAAACATAGTTCAATTTTCAAAACTTCAATTTGTAAAATTTGTATAAGTCGTATATTTAATCAGAAACTTTACACACATTATTTAAGCTTACTTGCCTTATAGCTAACAGCTTTATGAATTGGAGGTTTTTTTATTAGCCATTTACGTTCTTTTACAGGTATGTATATTTTCAAATATGCACTTGTCATTGTGATTGAAACGAATAGAAAGAGATGAATATATACCTCAGGCATATGTCAATATCAAAATATATTTTAAGTATGTCTTTGTAAAAAAAACTTTCGTTAACGAAATGAGTTTCTTAGTACAAAATATAATATGTTATAATTATTGTTTTGTAGGGAAATGTGACTAGTTCGGTACCCCTAAGCAATGGGTTCTATGTGGTATTCATCAAAGAGTATATGAAGTTTTTCCCTCGAAACCAGTTTCATATAATACGACTTGACGAGTATTCCAAAAACAAGTCGGAGGTCATGAGGAATATTTTTCGCTTTCTAGATGTGGGTATGTATTTTATTACATATGGATGCATTTAATTTTCTCATATTTTTCAGGGTTTGTCTGTGTCTGTAGTCGTTCAAGACGACGCGTCAAGGGTTATTTTTTAAGACCACTTGATCATCAGTACACATAGCATTTTACTCGTTTGCTTTTAAATGTATTATCAAACATGATTGTTGTGAGTTCATCGGTAACACTAATTATAACGCACTTTAATTCAATGTAGTAACAAATACATTATGTGAATTGATGAAATATGTGAAATGTTCTGATAAATAGAAATGTTCTAGGTTCAGTGGTACATTTTAACTTAAAACTAACAACTCTTGGTCAGCCTGGATTTACTTCAATTAACTTCAGTAATAAATACTTTTGTAAACTAATAAAAAATGTTGTCGAAGAACGTGTGAGTTAATATTTAGAAATGTAATAAGTTCCATTTGTAACGCAGATGTCAACCACCTGATTTTGAATAATTGAATGATGAATTTAACTTCTTTTTTAAGAACAGTTTACATGACACCATCTTATTTGTTTAGGTGACGTTGAACAACGAGTAAGAAATACCTCAAAAAACAGCAGAAAGAAAAAAGGCTCAATCACTGGAAACATGTTACCGGAAACTCGTTCCTTACTAACTGAATTCTACCAACCATACTTAGTTCAGCTAGCCGATCTACTGGGGGATGAGCGGTACCTCTGGAAGGATTAGATAACAATCATTATGACGACACGCATTAAAAGTTGTTCATGGGTTCATATTGTTACAAAGTGTCACGTCCTAATTGTGCCCTGGGATTCAACAACAACAGTCCCAACCTCCTGAATTAGCAAACTTTTTAATTGAACGCCGGGTAGCGTTTACGTTTACGATAACACTAACGATATTACAATATTAAAACTGTTAATAATTGCACAGTTTTATGTGTATATTTTGTGTAGATTGAAGAAGTTTCCTTTTTAATCGCATGTCACCCTAAGGAATTTACAATTCACATGGGTATGAAATGAAATTACTTCAGAATATATTATCAGGATACTGTCATTGTGGATGTTAGCTTTTCTAGCTTAACGGCACGGTACATAAGGATTTTGTTATTACAGATGATAATTCTTATGTATAGTACATGAGGGATTGGTTTGCGTTCTCTAGAGGTGCACATTTTCGGAAAGTCGTTCCTTAATTACAGAATTCTGTAAACCACACCCCACTAGCCGATCTACTGGAGTACGAGCGTCATCAGATAATTGTGTTTAGCGAAATTTCATAATGACAAAATCGAATGCCTCGACGATTTGTGCTTTTTCTACAAAGTTTCTTGCTTCTTATTTATCGAAAAGTCTTTGTTTTTTCTATGTCTTAAACATTTTGTAGGAATTCAGCATTTATCAAAAGGTCCTTAGTGTTTATTTAAATCAGCGTTTTGTATATTTTGATTCGACAATTTTTTTATTACATGTACATGATTTATTTGGCCACAACCGTGTTGGAGTAAACCTTTGCTATTCGCTTTATGTAGTGTTATCCTCAGCACAATTTTACGTTGATTGGAAAACATCAAACGGATATATACATTGATAATGTGAAATGATACGCTGTTTTCCTTGAGACTTTCGCTTGGTGCTGTTTTCGCCATCCACTGGTATAATATAAAGTACTAATTTTGCCCTACATAACCTTTTACACAAGGAGTAGATCAACTCCATCGCCAGGTAGGTTCCCTCTTCATCGGTCGTTTCCTCGCTTCCACGGAAGTCTCCTAAGGTGTGCCGACTGAGGTGATCAGTCTCAGTCTGGATCTATTATAATTCATCCCATATACACTAACTATACATGGTATGTTATTTATTAAACATTCGTTATCCCGATAGTTTCCTGTGAAAATAAATCCTAGTAAATAGTACATTTTTCGTGTTTAAAGTTTCAAGCTGTTTGTGTATTTGAGGAATATTTTTTAAGAAAAAAATGACTTTCACAATACAGCTTTATGATTGTACAGAGTAAAAACTGTTAGTCTTTAAGTACATTCTATATATTTTATGGCGAAGGTAACAAGATGTTACTCACAAGAAGGGTTAACGGATATGAACGCAGCACTCTGCTTCCAAGGGAGCCGTATTCCTTGTTTGTAANCAGAGGTGGTAATTGTGCAAAGTATCTTAAAGCTTTCAATCAACTTAAACAAAATGAAATGCCCTACGAATGCTCAGAAACAGGTTTCCAACTCAAGACAACCAAAAATAAACAGGAAGTTGATAATCCGCCATATTTGACTTGTTAACAGCTCATTATATATGTGGATGTGCGTGAGCGATAATTAACGGTCGCCAGGACGGATGCTGTACACTAGCTGACAGGCTCATGATTTAGGAGCTACATGTATTTATAGCCGCAGACAGAGGGCTGTTCGACGTTGTTAAAGAAACAACAGCTTGTGGTTGTATCTTACATTATTGTTAATGATAACAATCGGTAATTTGCATCAACATAAAACCAGAAAATATATAAAGAGAGAACAATAAAACAAATAACATTGGGGAACATTTTATTACTTAATTATGTCCAATAGCATTCAAAACAAGTAAATTAAATTAATTAATGTTTAATTTACATAAATGTACAACAAGATCTTGCGGTACAAATTCATGCTGCTTGCCTTTACTAATGTAATCCAAATTGATGTAAAATGAATCGAAAAGGATCGATTTTATGGATATATTTCTGAAACAAACAATAGGAAATTAAAAAGTAACACTTAATAATGCATAAATCTGTCTGAATTATCATTTTCCGCAATTTGCTGCTTTAAATAGTTGTAGACCAAAGACTCTCTGTGATATGATCTTTTTTATATGTTAATGGATATTAACATCGACAATTGTGATCTTCCGATATAAAAGAAATAAGATATTTCCAACAGCGAACTATTGAAATTAAGAATATCAAGTTAAGAATAATTTCTTCAATCTTAAAAGTGACGAAGGAAGAATATTGGTGTAATAGAGTTGACTACAACAGAAAATTAAATGAAAGAAAGATCAATTAATCTCAAATCAGTCGGAACAATTAATTAGACAAAAATAAAATGATTTGACCTAGATCTGAAAAAATCATTCGACCGAAACAAACCTTTGTAAATGGATATCCGTTACATTGGGGTGGAGGTTTGAAAACAGACGGATTCCGAATACCTCGTGACGTGTCCAGCAAGTCAAAGTTGTACATAACACCACTTTGTCCATCTCCACTTGCTATACTAGCCTCGGGTATAAAATTGGCACGCACAGGCCAACAATCGCTACCGTCTGTTAAAAAATCAAAAAGGAAGAAAAACAGTGTTAGCACACAAGCACGGAATCAGAACCCAAAATCAATATGACAGCACAAAAACAGGAACCAAATATATATTAAGTACGTCCACAAAATTGTTTGGATGAAAACCCAAATTGCCTCATAAGTAAGGAGTAAGCATTTCCTCAATTGCATGTTGTATCCTTCTCTTTGTACTTAGATATTCTTATTAAGTAACGAAAAAGGGTGAACGAAGAAAAAAAAGTCTCACGACATTGAATGTATAGTATACTTACCCCTGATGACAGATGCTGTAATTTTTAATGGAATCGATCCTTCGACATCAAACATATAGTTTGCTACATTGGTATTAGCGCCTGCCAGAAATCCATACACCACTTCCGTTCCACCAGCTAAATAAAAGTTGGAAAGACAGATACCAGAGGTGGTAATTGTGCAAAGTATCTTAAAGCTTTCAATCAACGTAAACAAAATGAAATGCCCTACGTATGCTCAGAAACATGTTTCTAACTCAAGACAACCAAAAATAAACAGGAAGTTGATAATCCGCCAT